TCTGGTCCATGGGATATGTGATGGTTTGAAAGAAAATGCTCCCCATAGGCTCATAGGGAGTGGCACTATTAGGAGGTGTGACCTTGTCGGAGTAGATGTGGTCTTGGAGGAAGTGTGCACCACGAGGGGCAAACTTTGAGGTTTCAGATGCTCAAGTTAGGCCCAGTGTGTCTCACTCTCTTGATGCCTGTGGACCCAGATGTAGAGTTCTTGGCTACCTCTCCAGCACCATGTTGCCAGCATGCTGCCAAGCTTTCCATCATGACAATGGACTGCATCTCTGAACTATAAGCCAGCCCAAATAAAATGTATTCCTTTATAAGAGTTGCCATGGTCATAGTCTCCCTTCACAATAGAAACTCTAAGACAGGGTCCCATGAATGGTGTGCATGTGAGCAAGTATTCCTGGTGGCACATTTTACTCCCAACATCTCTCCCCTCTGGGTTCAGCACCACCCTGAGGCCTATCCCCTTCCTTCCACAGACCATCTCTCTTTTGTAGGCTCCACTGTAGAATCCAATGGCTTTTATTGTTATTGACTACATCACCACACCCATTAGTCTCGGGTCACTGACCCTTCTGTGCCACTTTTGCCACACACACCCACACAATCACACCCAGCCCCTTGTCTTTGATGGGAATTGGTGGGTGGTCTAAGGTGTCTTCTCCACATTTACCAGCACCTCCTGTATGGTTTCTTGTCTGTTGATCACAGGTACTGGCTTCCAGGCTACCTGTAGGCTGGTCACCTCTCTGAAGCAGTGCTGCAGCTGAAGTGGAAGATCAGAGCACTTACCAAGAGAAGATTCCCCAGCAGACACATGGACCAGACCTGCCACATGAGCTTTGCTGTGTGTGTTGCGTGTTACTGAACCCAGGGCTTCAGATATGCAAAGCAAATGCTCTATCACTGAGCTGCTTCCCCAGCCTGAGATCTGCCATGTGGCTGGGAAGTTATCATCTAAGTTTAGCAAAGGGCTGATACTAGATGTTATTACCCAGCAGTGACCTTGCCAGAACCAGTACACCTGTCCTCAATTCCTTGAGGTACAAGCCCTACATAACATTGAGATCTGATCAGCCACAGCACCTCTTTCCAGTTTCCTGACTGAAATGCTGCTCTAGACCCTGACATCGCTCCACCACCAAGACCCTTATCCTTTGATGGGATCAAGGACTTGGGCCTTCATGACGTCTGCTGTGTCTGACTGGATTCCAAATCAGAAGCAGTTTGCCCTACGTCTTGGTCTTTGTCCTCCTCTACTTCTGCTTTTGGAAAGTGCATATTGTCTTGAGGTCCTATAATCCCTATTTCTTGGGGGGAAGTGTGTGGATTCATTGTGTTACTAAGGGCACCGTGACCTCTGCTGCCTTCTATTACCAACTCCCCCACTTTGTACTAGCTATAAGGTATGTTCTCAAACTCTACTTGCAGTAGGCTGCCCAGCTCAGGACGTGGCACAAGGCTTGGAGGGTAGTGGGCAGTTCAGTGCTAGTGCCTGTCCACCAGCAGCAGAAAAAGGGCTGAGAATACAGCCAGAGGCCACAAGCCAGTTTGTAGCCCCATGGCTGCCTCCTAGATTCTCTAGGAACACCTCCTGGTCCTCACCTCAGCCACCTAGTATAAAGAAGGAAATATTAACATCGCCTAGGTGATGTTTGTTCCTTATGAAGGAGCCAAGACAGCCCTTGTTTTCTTGTGTTGAGGCAAGCTGTTAACTGTCATGCTGGAGAAGACAGTGGAAGGAGGGGAGAACAGGCTGGGTAGACTAGCCTCCATGACCCAAGCACCTCTGGCCCTCCTGTTTGCAGAGGAAGTAATGGGAGGTAAAGGCTAAAATGCCTCATTATGGCAACAAGTACAGTTAACTGTGTGGGCAAGCAAAGGGCAGTGGGAGGAAGGTAGCTGGAGCCTATGTAATCTTTAGAATAAGTCTGAAGTCACTCAGTTGATCAGGAAACCAAGACTCATCTGGAGACTTCCAAGATCTGTAAACAGAAGGCTGAGAAAGCTGTCACAGAACTTTGTGAAATCTACAAGGATGGTCCAGGTGCTTTTCAATGGAGATCACAGTCTTCATTTACCTTTACTTCTTATGTGTCAAGCCCACTCCAAAGTCACTTTAAAAGGGATATGGAGAATAGTATTCCCCTTATGCCAGAGGCCTGTAGTTAGGATGGGCCAGTCACATAGAAAATTTAAGGAGGCTTGTGTCTTCCAAGGATTATGTGCCAGGCACTGCTGTTCCCACTGCACATGCCAACTCATTAGTCCTCCCCAGAGTCCTCGGAGGCAAGAGTTCTCATGCTACAAGAGCAGAAGTGACGTCATGAAAATGTGGTATCGCACTACACTGCAATACTACTTGCTCTGAGCTGCAGCTCTGCACGGCTTGCAATGATAGTCTATTGATGATCAGTACAAATTTAGTGTTTCAGAAAAATTCAAGTTGCCCAGGATCCCCTGGGACCCATGTCATGGGGTAAAATGCACCATGTACTGTGGACCCTCTGGACATTGTCATGAGAGACTGAACTTCAAAACACTGTAGCAATAAGGTGGATTAAGTCTACACCTGAGCTGTTCAGGCTCCACAGGGAACCCTGTAAGACCCACTTTTGTGGAGCTGTTTTAGCCAGCCAGCACAGGTTAAGAGGAGTAAGGTTTGAGCATTTTCCTGACATGTTTTCCTTTGTCAGGTGCAGCTATGTCATTGGGAGGAAACTTCCAACTCACAGCTCCTCCCCAAGAGGGCCAAATATAAGAAAGAGGCGGGTAGCCTCTTGAGATGCAGTCCCAACAACTATCACTGGGGGGAGCCAGAGATTAAAGACTGTGAAACACTAGAAAGAAAAACCTGCCAAGTAGGACCAACTCAGGCAATTGTTTAATGGGCAGTTTGTTTTGCAAGATGGAAAAATTGTGGATATTAGCTGCATAATTTAATGCATAAATTCAGTACTACTGAAATATATATAAACCATGGTTAGGATGTACATAATTTAAAAATATCACACGTCTATAATTTTAATATATACTTAAAAGAGGGGCTGGAGAGATGGCTCAATGGCTAAGAGCACTAATCTCCCAGAGGACTTCAGTTCAGTTGCCAGCACCCACATTATCAGCTCACACCAGTCTGTAACCCCAGTTCCAAAGGATCTTCTGCCCTCTTCTGGCCTCCACAGGTACTAGGCACACAAGTAAGTGGCACACAGCCATACATGCAGGCAAAACTTCCATATAGGTAGAAAAGTTTTGAAAGACTATTGAAAAGAAGCTACAACATACCTATCAGCATGGTCAAACATAAAGGATAAGCCCAGATGCTGGTGAGGATGTAATCTACAGGAACTCCCATTCATGGATCATGAGAACGTAAAATGGTGTATTCATTTGGAAAGCAGTTTAGCAGCTGCTTACAACAAAACATATCCTTACCACATGATACATTAATCTGAAAACTTATGCCTACACAGGAACCCACACAGTATTTATGGCAGCTCCACTCATAATTGCCCAAATTGGAAGCAATCAAGATGTCCTTTGGCAAACAGTTAACTGGAAAAACTGGGCCTATCTAGACAATGGAGTATTTTTTTGGCAGCAGCAAAGGAATGAGCTGTGTAGCCATAAATACATGAAAAACCATAAATGTGTATCACTAAATTGGAAGCAGCCAATCTGAAATGGCTATATACTGTATGTCTCTAACTATATGACACTCTAGAAAAAGAAAAACTACGAAGATGATAAAAAGATCTGTGGCTGTCAGATTTGGGGAGGAAGGGGAAGAGCAGTTGACACAGTTGTTTTAGGGTAGCAAACGGTCCTATAAGAGACTGTAATGGGGGTACATGGTGTCATTAATTTGTGCAAATCCATAAAGTGTACAAGTGCCAGGAGCAAACCCTGATATAAACTGCAGACATAATGGGTGATTATGAGTTATCATGTAGGTTCATCACTCACAGCTACTCCAGTGGGGACATCGATAATGGGACAGGCTGCACATACCTGGAAGATGTAGGTACACAGGAGCTTATCTTCCGTTCAATACCACAGTCAACCAAAAACTGCTCTTCAAAAATCTATTACAACACACATGCACTGACCTTAGAAACTGCAGAAGCTGAGAGGCACAGTCACTAAGGCACTGCAGACATCAGGAACTGTCATCAAGAGGAACTGAGCCGGACCACTGCCCACCTCAGAGATGTTTCCGAATCCAGGTTAAGGAAAGACGTTGAACAATCATAACTGAAGCTGTGCTCAGGCATCATCAGCAAGTGGAAAGGGAACCAAAGGACAAAAGGTAAAGTGACAAACATCTGCTGCAGTAAAGTATTTTCCTCAAGATACGTATTTTTCAAGTTTTATGACTTTGTCCTTGACACTACAAGTCTATCAATTGCATTTTAACTGTGTTAATCCAGGTTACCAACAGGAGATGCCAACCAGCTCAAAAGCCCCCGTTTCCATTCAGGCCTTGCCCAGCTGCCCACACATGGCCCCGTGGCTGATGTAGCATACCACCACTCACACTCCCACCACCATTCAGGCAGGTGAGATGAGAAATGGACCACACTGCTGGAGACAGCCATTAAAGCAAAACTAACCTGCCATTTCTGCAGCCCCAAATTGATGAGCACACTAGAACTCATTTATAATTGCTTACTTCCAACTCAAAACAGTATTTCCAATATTTCTTCTGTTCTCGTTGAAAAAAAGTCCATTAACATTGCATTATACTTTTATAATCCTTCATATTAGTGCTGATTGGGAATATGCCCTCATGTCAACTTCAAAAAGTCAGAATGGCCCCACAAGAGGCAGAAAAGAACCCTGGATTTGTTATCAGGCTCTGCTGCCAAGGACCCTCACTAGGGAAAAAAGGACTGGTGGTGGCCTGCTGGGGAACCGAGCCAAGGTCCCCTTTGGGAAGCTGATCCAGGAGAAGGAAGACACACATTCACTTAGAGCAAATGAAAATGGACACAAGGTTAAAATGAAGTTTATTATGTTTTTGATTTTTTTTTGATTTTTTTGATTTTTGTTTTTTTAAATAAAACTGTTTGTAAAACAGCTATTTTATCCCCATGGCAGAGTGACCCCTGAAAGATGCACATATCCCTTCTTAAGGCCTTAACAAGATTTTTTTTGTACTTTTTTCTTTTTTTAAAACTCATATATTTAAAAATTATACAATTTACAAAACAAAACAATACAACATAAAGATTCATGTAGCATGGGGCCACACATCTGACAAGCCCCTTTTTCCATTATAAAAATGAAAGAAAGCAATAAAGCGTTAAAGCGGGTGGTTCTGGTTAGCTTCACCCACCTACATGGTTCACACGTTCTCTCCCCGACCTGGCCTGTTTCAGCAGCAGAGGCCTGGGCCTCTGTGGGTTCCATGGATCCTGTGGGTCCCCAGGGGTCCCGGCTACATGGAATGTGTCCAGGAAAGAGGGCGCCAGAGGTAAGCCATTCCTTAAGTATACCTGTTGCTGTGGGGCTACTCTACCTACTTGGTGGGACCACAGTGATCCAGGACACAGCCATGACCTTGGGGCATCTACCAATTCCACCACCAGCCCCCCAAAAAAGAAAAATTAAAAATAAATAAATAGTGTTTCTGGAAAGGAAAAAATTTATTTTTATGTTTAAACATCATTCCCCCACTTTTGAAAATGACCATCCCCATTCTGCCCTCCCCCACAAACTTCCCCTGTGAGACAGACTGACAGAGGAAGGTGGCTGTTATTTGTCTGTTCTTTCAGTTCTGGGTCTAGTGTTCACTGAATTGTTGTGAGACAGGCTAAAGATCAAAGCCACACCCCATCCTTTATGAGATGAGTTTGTTCAGTTCAATTTCACATTTAAATTTGTCATTGGAACAAATTTTGAGTTAACTAGATAATTTTAAAATAGAATCAAAAGGGATAGCGCACCTTTCATTTAAACAAAGTCTTTCCAGACTAAAAATAGATTTATATATATATATTTTTTTATCCCTCCCTTTTGACCCCCCCTTCCCCATCAGCCCACCCCTCCCCCCTCCCCCATATTGTCACTATGGAGATTGTGTCCATGGAAACAGCCATTCCAACATCTTGTGTCTTTCTTTCCTGTGGTGTCACCAGTTTGAGTGTGATGTGAGAACATAGGAAGGAAGTGCTGGCATGGGCAGGCGCAGTGGGGTGCAGGGCAGGGCAGGGCAGGGTGTGGTTGCACAGCAGGAGGATTCCATTCCATCATGTGTGTCCACCACCTTCTCATCTCCACAGTCTCACCTGGAAAACAAGCAGAAGACACTGGGTGCTGGGAAGGTCTATATGGTTTCAGCACAGCTGTGGCAGTAATGGGAGGATGCAGCTTTCAATAAGGATCTTACACTCAGACCTTTCTGTAGATGGCTGCTGATTTTGAACACATCCAAAATCAATGCCAGCACTATCATGTGGCTTTGGACCAAACAGGGGGAAAGGCAGCAGTGATTTAAGCTTTTAAGCTAATGGGTCCTGTAATGGAAGGGACCAAAACAGAAGAAGATTCCTTGATCTCCATGGCTGGGTCGTGTTTGAGAGTGTAGTGTGTGAATCTTTGCCAGCATAGTAAGTACCGAGGGCCTGTGGTTGGCTCAGCACCTTGTGGCAAGGCTCAGTCCTCATAAAAGTGGCTGACAGTATCCTGTTGTCACTGAAATGTAGAACACCCATCCAAATTACAAAAAGATCATCCACAACTATGTCTCATTTGTCTGTAGCTGAGTCTGTTCTTCATGCAAATAAAGAACACTTCTCAGAGCCTCTGATGGTGGGACAGGCCCTGGCCCATTTTCTTGGGCTTACACAGAGCTGGAGCTTTTAATTCTTCTAACTCAGGAACCTGAGGTGCTCAAGGCCCCTGGGCTTCTCTCTTCTACCATTTCAGGTTTCAGAGGTTGTTCTTAAGACCCATGTAGGGCAAATGGATTGTTCAATGGACTCTAAGGAGTGTCTCATGGTCTGCCTTGTGTGAGAAGGGCTCAGGGCGACACAACAGTTTCCAAGGACTTAGTCCAGAAAAGTTACACCAAAAGCCACCGTTGATGGTAAGCCACTCTCATCCTTGCTTTCTGCCAATCACTGTACTCCCCGCATCTGTGTCTCTTGGGATTCCTCTTTGTCTCTTCCTCAAGTCTCTCTTGTTCTCGCCTCCAACGGATAACCTTCAGGAAAAACCAGGCTTACTGTCTCATACCTGCCTCCACAAAGCTTACCAACAAGCAACAACTAATGCTGGTACGTGTGCAGGACCTAAGAATGTGCCATTCATAAACACACATGCACACACCTGCCCTTGCTAAAAGCTTTATAAAAAGCCCAGTAAGGAGGAAGGCACTTTGCAGAGACAGCAGTGTAATGGAGCCGGAGACTCCAGCCCTGGGAAGACAGGTGTTTTACCATGGCACTAAGGTGTACTCCATCTTCAGAATGAGGGAACTCAAGTTCAGGGGAGTGACACTTGCAGCCCAGGCATGTGGCTAGTTCAATGCAGGACTTGGGTTTACAGCTAGCTAATCCTTTGCTAACTAGGTTCCAGAAACCGTGTTTCATTGCATGAGACCTGGCTGACAAGAGGTAACAACAACTAGGCTTCAGTGTTTCATTGCATGAGACCTGGCTGACAAGAGGTAACAACAACTAGGCTTCAGGTGAGTTTTCTGCCATTCCAACCTGAAGATGGTCAATATTCTCTTTAAATCTCACTGGGCATGTGGCTACCCTCTGTAATCATAGCAGTTGAAGGAATAAGGGAAGGGGATCTTGAAAAAGCAAAATGACTATCACTAAGAATGGGGATGTGATAAGGGTAGCTCAGAAGCAGAACTCTTACGTGGAACTCAGCTTCTACCTCCACAACCACAAAACAATTAAGCACCTTGATGCTCAGCAGGTAGAGCACAGGGGTTCTCTTTGGACTCCCCTACCTACCCTGTGGCCTGAACCTGAGAGGGCTTCCTTTGTATCCTTCTCCACCAAACTCTAAGCCTGTCTCCCAACTACAACAGGCATCACTCAGCTCAACTATGCCAGGATTCAGAGGCAGTCTCTTCTCTGAAGTACATGTGGTCCCTACTTGAAGAGGGATCAAATTCTGATTCAGTATTGATTTACGGTATAGGGGAGATGTGATAGACTCAGGGTCTCCTTTTAGAGGTGCAACCCCAGCAGCACTTCCCTGGAAGAACCTAGGGTTGGGGTGGCACTCATCATCTGTAGATGGGCTGCATGCTGCTCAGAGGTAGCAGGGAGGATGCCATCCCTTTCTTTCCATGGCTGTTTTGTGCAAGGTATATGGATAGTTGGCATTCCTAGCACCCAGGACAGAACATCACTTCAAATGATGGTTTCTGTTCCCTATCTACTACATCTCAGGCACCACACATTAGGAAAGCCATGTTCAGGGGTCCTTCTGTCAAAAGACTGTCTAAACCTGCAATGAAGCCAGAGAGAATCAATTTTTGCTTGTTTGTTTTCCTAGAGGGTTTCTTTGTGTAGCTTTGGCTGTCCGAGAACTAGTTCTGTAGACCAGGCTGTCCTAGAACTAGCTCTGTAGATCATGCTGGCCCCAAACTCACAGAGATCCACCTGCCTCTGTCTCCCAAGTGCTGGGATTAAAGATGTGCATCAGCACTGCCTGGCGAGTGTAACAATCTTAACATCACAGGCCTACCATGATAGGATGCTTTCTTATTCTCAGAAATGGATGGGACATGGCCTACTGGGCAAGAAGCCAAAGACTTTACCTCACTTACACTCTTAGCCTGGTGGGGACAAGTGTACAAACCTCACATGTTGGAGCAACATCTTCTAGTCCCTAGTGCTGGGTATTTTCTGCTAGATAGAGCAGTTGTAGCTATCAGAAACACATAGTTAGGTAGCATGGAGTGGCCTTGTCAAATCCTCCTGAGTTCATCACTGTTATTTCTTTCTTTACATAGGAAACAGAAGCCTAGAGATACTAAGTAGCTTTAACCTCAGTCACACAGCCCCCTTCTCACTATCCTGTGTGAGAAAGTGGGGTACCAGTAGGTCAGGACACATACGCATACTTACTGTCCCTTCTCTGCTTTGTGTAAATTCCCATTAATAGTGACTATCCTGAGCATGAGTGTTCCTTGATGACAGTGGTTTGTTTCTGTCCTTGACCACTGAGGCTTCAATAATTGTTTGGCCTCTGAAGGACACTGACTGACCTCAATGTAACAATTGAACAGACAAACCTTGAAAACTTTTTTTCATTGTAGGAAGAATTTACAAAGAGATTATTCCAGATATTAAAACTGGACACAGGGTCTATTAATTTACTCAATAGGTGACTGCTACAAACCTCAACAGATTTGAGGTCCATCTCCACATGGGGGTCAGGAGTCTATTATGGCCAGATACCAGTCCAGGAAGGACAGAGGGAAAACTCACCATTCTGCTTCCAGTCTAGAGCTAGAAGAATCTAAGAATGAGTAGGGATGAAGACCAAGACCCCCAAGAGATGAGTTACCAAGGTCCAGATTTTCTAAAACTCAGGCTGGAATTCAGGACAAAACCATGTTCCAAATGAACCCACTTTTACCTCAGCGAAGCCTTCTAGGACACACTTACTTCAGGAATCTATCTCAAGGTCCCTTTAAGAGTTTGACTCCAACCATCAGGGCCAATATAGAGGCACTTACAACTCCTACTTAGGCACAGTGGCATTTAAGCCCATGATCCCACTGAAGGCCAATACAAACAATTCTCCAAAAACCATATATATCTCCCCACCACTTTGTCCTGAGGGCCACAGCACTGTACCAAGACTTTGTACAGCTTGTACAACTCAGCAGCTTCTAGAAATGCAGAGCTGATAATGACTTGTTAGTTCACAGTCTTCTTCTGTTTGGGTCTTGTGCCCTAAGAACAAGTAAAATGGTTCCCATTCCCCTTTCACACTGTGTTCTGCTCCAGGCATTGCCAACCCTACTTCCTGAAGAGGCAGAGGGGAAAACAAACAAACAAACAAACGAAAACCAGCAAAGTACTCAGCATCCCCACCAGGGAGCCCGCACTTGAATCAGACCTGTCCCACAGTGGGGTATAAACAGCCTTCTCTGAAGTTGGTACCTGAACCACCAATTAAACGTTTTCTTGGAAGAGGAAAACCACATACTCTCAGATGAATTCAACTTTTATTCAAATTAACAATGATTTTTCCAGAAAATGGCAAAAACCTCCCAGTTGTAACCAGGGAGAGGGCACACTCCACAGGGAATAGTTCTGTTTTGTCTGTGGGAGCAGAGAACCCCCATTTAGAAAATGACCCCTCAGAGAATACGCCATACAGCTAGCACCTCTGCCCACTGGAGCAAGGCCCATGTCATGGCACTTCTGTCCTCTTCACACCCTACTTTTTTTCATCGCAGAGACAGAGCAGAGCAGGAAAGAGGAACCAAGCTGCCAGCACCCGTATCCTCTCAAGTGCATTCTCATGGCTGCACAATGACACTCACTACAATCAATTTCATCTCCTGACACTGTTAAAAATATAATTAAACTGGATGATAAAATCCACTAAATCTCTGAATTTTCCTTCTCTTTATCCTTTTTACAAAAAGGAATTCTTCACAGTACTGAGGTGGGATTACAAATAATAAAATTGAGAATATTCTGGGTTTTTTTCCCCAAAAGAAAACATAGTATATAAGCGTTACTCAATTTTTTTTTTAAAGTGACCTCTAGTTAGACTTCTTTGAGACAGCGTCAAGAGTAGGCTGCTGGCAGATGACCCCGCTTGTAGAGCTGTCCTAGAAGCTTTGCCTTTAGGACCAACACCCATGGGCTCGTTCCTCACCTCTTCACTAAAGGGCTAACTTCAGGAACAGTTGTCCTGACTCCAATTGGCAGTGGACAGTTCTGAAGCCTCTACCACCTTCCTGTAGACATTCAGGAAGCTAAATAACAAATGGGAAACGTTTTTTTCCTGGTTTTATTCATCCACATGACTAAATGCTGGTGGTGCAGCCTGTGGCCATAAGAGGCCAGAGGCCAGGACACACATGGAGCTGGGTGAGGAGGTGGTGGGAGCCCAGCAGGCCCCAACTCACCTGTGCTTGCTGTCCATTCCCACGTGCACACTGCCCCCCTCACCCCCGCTCCGACTGCTCTGTGCTGAGGCTGCCTTTCGCGGTCTTGTTCTGCAAGGGGGGGAGAGGGCACGGAAGGGGAGGCTGATGCCGGCCAAAGCCAAGGGGAGACAAGACAAAAGGACAGAACAGAAAATACAGTGTGGGAACCAGGGCGGGTAGCGGTAAGGACAGGAATGGCACATGGAAAAGGAAATAAAAAGCAGAGTCAGTACTGAATGACAAACAGGAGACACCCAGAACTGGGCTTTTCTGAGGCAAAATGTGATAAATAAAAATAAAAAGAATATTATCTGATCCTAAAATCAACCTCTGAAAAGTATTCTTAAAAAAAAGCATAAGAATCTGCCAGGAGCATTCTGAGAAGTCTTCTACAGATGATTCCTTTTGTTTTTTCTGGCCCTATTTGGGGACTGACCACCAGGTGTCAGTCTAACCTTAGCTAGACAGGAGCAAGTGCAGGAGACATGGGCAGTAGTGCTCCCCACTCTGACCCTCCCCTCCTTCACCCCATCCCGCCTTCTGTGAAATGAGTTACTCATCTCTTCTTTCCACCTTTCCTGAAAGGAAATGACCATGAAAGCATCACTTAAACACACTGGGAAATGGACCAGTGGCAGCCCATCACCTAAACATTGTTGCTTCTGCTGCACTACCTGGGAGAGAATGAGAGCATCCCCAAGCCCAGGAGTTGGCTCCATTTCCTAGTCCAAGAAAGGTTTCCATACCAGACCTTGCAGCAGCTCATTATGAATTGATCCATAAATTGGATGGAGTTCTACTAAACTCAAATAGAAAGCAGTAATAGTTTCATTGAGTCTGATCTCCTAATTTCTTGTAATGAACAGACATACCCCTCAAAACACCATACCTCTTCCCATTCTACCATGAAAGGTGTTGGCCTCATGCCCTAGGGATTCCTTCAGCTTTGTGCCTCTCTACATTCCAAAGGCTAGGAGAAGGATTCAGCTAGAGGTATATGTTGGGACAGACATGGGCAAAGTCTTCCAGCGTTTGGGGTTTTCAATCTTTCAAGGTAAGCTACCCCTATTCTCCAGTTACACAACCAGCCCCAGAGATGTATGACTCACCTTGTGCTTGGGGCACCTCACCGAGAAGTTCTCCTCATGCAGCAAACACTCTACAAAACAAAGGAGACAGTCAGATGAGCCTGTGCATGCTTAACCAAAGTATGGCTATACTGGCTGGACTGACAGGCATGAACCTAAGAGGCCTCAATACTAATTTATTTCCTTTCTTACTTCTGGATGTATATATGCAGTACTCTTTATTTATATGAAAAACTGATAGTACTTGTGGAAAAGCTAGATGCCATGGAACACACGTACTTTTTCCCAGCTTTGTTATGTTTAGTGGGTTATCCAGCGAACTGCCAAAGGGCGCTCACAGGGTGGCTGGAGTACAGACCCTATCCTGCTATCTTTCCTCCCTTCACAGATAAAGGATTTCCAGGATCTTTCGATCTGCCTGGATTTCAAGTCACTGAACATTCAAAACGTTAACAATCATTTGGATCTGCACCTTAGACACAATTGCTTTCCTCTTATTCTTTGACCACACTGTAGTTCCTAATAAGAAAACATCAGTGACATTCGAAATAATCTATGGTATTAACATGATATCAGTCACAAAAAACTAGTATTTTAAAGTGGTTGATGATAAGGGTAAATAACCATGGTATTGTTATACAAAAAACACTCCAACAACCATGATATACAAATGTGTAACTAAACTTTAAATTTCATATAAAAAGTTTTTTTTTACACACATTAAAAACAAAGACTGAAATGAAGTCTTCCAAAATCTATCAGTGACTCTCTTGTAGGAAGAAAATAGGTGATTTCCATTAGAATTTTTTCCCTCTGTATTTCCAAAATGACAATACTTAACAATCAAAGATAATCTCTAAAATAGTGTTCAGCTAACCACATAGGATCACTGCAGAGCCTCTTTAAAAATCACCTGAAATAGGCCGGGCGGTGGTGGCGCACGCCTTTAATCCCAGCACTCGGGAGGCAGAGGCAGGTGGATCTCTGTGAGTTCGAGGCCAGCCTGGTCTCCAAAGCGAGTTCCAGGAAAGGCGCAAAGCTACACAGAGAAACCCTGTCTCAAAAAACCAAAAAAACAAACAAACAAAAACAAAAAAAAAACAAAAAAAAAAAATCACCTGAAATAGAATGACCCCCCACCCCGCCCTTTTACCTCTATTCAAGAGAGCCCAGTTTTCAAGACAGAACGGTGACCAAGCCTGGCAGCCCGGCTGTCACCTGCATCCCACAGCCCTAGAGACACAGGGAGACACTGCTGACACCATCACACAATCTGCACTCAACACTTCAGAGGGAAAACAAAGTCCCAGGAGGATGATTTTATTCTCTGGAGGAAAAAAAATGACGTATTCCAACTTTTAACATGGTGACAGCATGCCTGATGGCAACCAAGAATACACGTGCCTTCAGGTAAGTCCAGCTTTCAGGCACAAGGGCAGTGTGGCAAGGCAGATAAATCTAATTAATGAGTTCACTCTGTACATCACAGCTCTGACAGACCGACAGCCAGGTCACTGGTGCAGGAGGGGGTGGCAGATGTTAATAAATATTGATCACACACTCTCAGAGAGCTCTCAGGCATCACAGCAAGAGGCAGTCATGGTACTTACCTTATTAAGTTTACTATTTAACCAGTTCAAAATGATATTTGGATTAGCAGCCTATAGCCACAGATTTCAAGTATAATACTATATAAGAAGCAGGGAACACACAAATGAAAACTTCTCAGGTCTTCAGTATCCTGAACAAATCAGCTAAAATAATCTCGGAGAATTTGGCTCACTTTGGTATTACCTGCCTATGGAGTCTTAGATCACCTCATCTATGGAGTAGGCTATCAGCTTTCTCAGATCAAGGCCCCAAAACTAAGCCAGTTGTCACTAACTTCCAGGCCCCTCCCTCCAGCATACAACAAGCATAGCAGTAAGTGAAACCCACAAGTTCATAGCATGACCAAGACTCCTGCTGCTCCAATCGGCCAGTGAGTTTATGAACAGTAGGAGGCAGACAACTGGATCTCAGGGAAGCATTCTCTCCTCACCTGGAGTCTCCAGCAGCACTGTGCCACCAGTCTCTAGGCCAGTTAAACAGGGCACTTGTGAAGCTTGGCCACCATAATGCTACAGGGTTTACAAAACCATTCAGGACAGGGACCATGTCAGCTGCAAAAGGTACCATCAGAAAGGCACAGGTGGGTTCATTCACCCTCAGAGTGACAGAACAGTGTGACCAGCTGTAACAGGCCATTAATAAAATGTTTCCTAAAGTTAGAAAATGTTTTTTTCTGAGTTAAAAGGAAAAAAAAAATCACAAACAATGTAAATATACATTACTTCTGGAAACAGAACTCTCCTGAAGAAGTTTTAGAATGTGCTCACCTCTGCCCTTACAGCACACTGTATAGAACAACCGCTCTTTTCTCTTCTCATACAAATCTATAATTCATCAAGAACTGTAATTCCATTCCCAGTAGAAGTCAGAACATAGGCAGAAACCTCAGAAGCTAAAAGGTTACAGGGGATATTATGGCATCCAACAACCCCGGTGCTCCTGAGGTAAATAAGAGCAAAGAGTACAAAGAAGTACAGTGAAATCCCAACTGAGGACTCTGGCAGGTGCCTAGTCCCCACATGATCAGCCAGTGACAATCACCTAATTTGTTTTTTCTAAGGCCCTGACACAACCTTGCAGTGCACAGGGCCTGGCCAGAATTCCTATAGGGTAGAAACCAAAGCAACAACTCACCAGATCACATGAGCTAGAAAAGACTCACAAGGTGGAGCAGTCAACAAGATGGCTTCCAGAAACAAATACCACCTCCATACCACCGCTAGGAGAGAACGCTTTCATTACCCTCTAGGCTTAAAGACCAGGGTGACTTTGCTGAATGTTTCATAACCAGCTCCATAAAGCTCGGGTATGCCATCCATACAGAACTCAGCAGAATGAAGACAGTGACCTCAAGGATATGGGAGAAAAAAACGAGAGGGATCTAACATGTCCTTTGGATTCCTTAGTACTAGACACAGTCACTAGCTCAGTTGCAATCTACCTTAGCACTGTCATCTTCATACTCGTATAGATGGATACTGCAGTCCTGTGGCCACTCCTGGAGCACAAGGAGGGGAATAAATGAATCCTTGGTGCTGCTGATAAGAGTGTGGAAGCCCACAGAAGTTTCCTAGTGAGATCTGCGCTTGCTTTACCAGCAGGGCTGCATAAGCGGATGATTGGACCACGGGCCTGGGTACCAGGTGTTTGGAAGGGTCTACACTTGGCTGTATCTAGCAAGGGGGAGTTCTTCTGCCTCGCCCCGTGGCATTGTTATAAAAAGCCCTCTCGAATAAAGTTCTGAGCCATTGGATATTGACCCAGGTCCTCCTGAAGCTGTGTTTCTGTCTTTTCCCTCATTGGGGAATCTATCATTCTATCTACAAGTTTCTTACCCCTCTCTCCTCAAGAGTACCCTGGGAAAGGTAGGGGCAGGACCCCTCACAATAGAACCTGTCCTACAAGAAGCCAGACCCTTGTGTTCTTTCATGTCCCACCCCCAGACTCTGACCCCACTACTCAAACATTAAAGTCTTTAGCAGAGAGTGAAATTTCCAGCTGTGTTTCTTCATGACAGTTAAAGAAAAATCCCCTCCAGGCAAGATTCTTTGCCCACAGTGGAATTATTGAGATACCACAGCCTTATTCCTTGCCTTAATTGTCGTGTTCTTTGTATAAATACATTAAATATTTTCCCAGAATCAGAACTCATGTTATTACTGTACCCTCTATCTGAAGCCAAACTCTCCTCTAACATTAACAACCAACACAAAAAATCTAATGATGGTGTAAGAAATATGGCACTACATTGGGTGGGGGAGTTGCAGGAGTCACAGGACTTCATGAAACATGGAGACACTCCAGCAATGAAAGTTCTTCCAGAGGCATCAAGAGTTCCTTAAACTCTTTGATTTGGCTGCTGGAAGCAAGGCCGAGATGAAAATGTCATGCTGTTCCTTACTCCACCAATAAATTAGGGCCTCCTAAACTCAGTGACTTATCTTGATTATGAATAGAAAAATCAGTCAGGGTCAATGAACACACCTTCCCCTAAATATAAGACATACTATACAGAACAGAACTCTTGAGGAGACTGGAATAAGTAAAATATCCATGTCTGCCAAGCAGTGCTTATACTCTGGATCATCAAAAAGACTGAAGTGTCTGCAGCTTATAAAGCTGCATCTCTGATATCAGCTCTGCACTCACAAAGAGTGGAGTACAGCTGTGGCAGCAAAGCTAGAGGAGCAGGAGTCATACCATACCTTTGAACCAGAACCTCTCTTGCTAGAAACTTGGCAGGTTTGTTAAACAGAGACATTATGGGCTTAATGGAGATAGGAGTGGAATGAGGGTTTGTTTGAATCCCTGAGTTTGAGGCAGCCTGGTTTACAGAGTGAGTTCCAGGTTAGTCAGGGATACACAGAGAAACCCTGTCTTAAACATGAACACACACACACACACACACACACACACACACACACACACACACACTTAATTTCTTAGTCCTACATTTCAAGTACTCAATGCTCACATATGGCTGCAGCTACCATCTTGGAGCAGAAAGGTCTACGCATTTCCATTACTGTGGAACGTTCCGGTGAGCAGTGTGCTTTACCCCTGAGAAACCATACCAGGAAATAGACTGGGAGCTGGGAGCAGCACCCCATGGGCCTTGCTATTGGGAAGCTGGCTGTCAGCACAGCTGACACTTGAGGGCACACATGGGGTATGCCTGGAGTCAAAGTGGTTAACTGTCTAGGTGTGTAAGCGTCTGTTGCTCAACAGTCTCTGTGTGGGAGACCACTGCTCACCCAGGCACTGACTGGGACAGTCAGTTATTGCATAATCCCCCATTCAAAACCATCCCCAAACTTAACACTTGGGAATCCCCATTTAAGAGCAGCTTTGAGTGAAGAAAACCAGATGTTCTCATGTAACTACAAGCAACACAATGAACATGAGGGAAAGCAATTGCCTGACTCAGGGTGAACGGCTCAGACAAAAGGAAAACTTATCAGCAGGGAAAATGAGGCCAAGTGTGGAGGTGGAGGTGCATGCCTACAACTTTAGCACTTAGGAGTAGACAGGAGGATCAGTTCAAAGTTATCCTTGGTCACACAGTGAATTTGAAGCAAGCATGGGCTACATGAGACCATTATCTTAAAAAAAAAAAAAAAAAAGTAGGGAGAAGAGAGTAAGTTAAAAAAAAGCAGAGGTATAATAAGGAGGGAGAGAGAAAGGAAAACAGTCCAAAACCCAAATCCTGTGAAACAATGGTTCAAGGCTCTTTACTTCCTTCCTATCCCCAGAGTCAGTGCCCTGCCCATGAAGTAGTTCTATGGCAATTGCACACAAATGCCTATATACAACACTTTTAAAAATCCTCTGTGCAACTTTGTTCTTTTTAGTACCTCTAATAGAAACTTAGAGAGAAGACGTTAGAAATAAAAGAAGGACATGGACTCAACACATACTAGTCACCTGGGAAGGGGAACCCAAATTGGGAAACTGACTCATAAGATTGGCCTCTGGGTATGTCTATGGGGCATTTTCTTGACTAATGACTGATTCTGGAGGGCCCAATCCACTGTAGAAAGTGCCACTCCTGGGCAAGTAGTCCTGGGTTGTGTAAGAAAGCAAGTTAAGGAAGAGAAATGGCTCGGTGGTTAAGAGCGCTGGCTGCAGTTCCCAGCACCCGCACAGTGGCTCACAACCATCTGCTGCTCCAGTTCCAGGGATCCAGTACCCTCTTTCTGACCTCCGAGGACACCAGATAAGCACATGGTGCACAGACATGCAAACATACATATAAAATAATAAAACAGGTTGAAAAGAAAAGAAAAAAGGGAAAAGAAAGAAAAAGCAGGCTGAGCAAGCCATTCAAAGCAAACCAGTAAGCAGCATTCCTGTGATCCGAGCTTCAGTTCCTGCCTCCAGGTTCCTGTCCTGACCTTCCGTAGCAATGGCCCATGACCTGAGAGCTATAAAATGACATAAATCCTTTCCTCCCTCAGATTGGTTTTAGTCAGTGTTATCACAGCAACAGAGAAACCTAACTAGGACACCAAGTATGTAATCCCACTGCTGTGGGTTTGGGAAACAGACCAGGGGAATCACTGGGGCTTGCTAGCAGTCAGCCCAGCTCAAACAACAAAATGGTGAGCTCCAAGTTCAGTGAGACCCTGTCTCAAGGGAATAAAGTGGAATGTGGCAGAGCAAAGCAACCTGCCACTCTAGTACACCATACCACAACCTCCCCTAAAACAAACAGGTTCCATTATAGCATTTTTTTTCTTTTTAAAAAATAATTTATTTTTATTTTATGTGCATTGGTGTTTTGCCTGCACACATGTCTGTGTGAGGGTGTCAGATCCCGTAGAACTGGAATTACAGACAGTTTTGAGCTGTCAGGTGGATGCTGGGAATTGAACTTGGGTCCTCTGGAAGAGCAGCCAGTGTTCTAAACCTCTGAGTCACTTCTCTAGCCCCCACCATTATTTTTGTTAGGCCTCCCCTGTCCCGTCACCCCATCTGTCTTATTTCCCCCTTCAGTAACCAGTATTCCACTTTCATGTAACATGTATTCTATAATTACTTTTCTCTCCCTGATAAAACCACTTCTCCATTCATAGTCCCCCTTTTAATTTTGTGACCTACATTCATAGCCTCGTACATACACACACACACACACACACACACACACACACACACACACACACATTATATATATTAGAATCTAAGATCTGAATGAGAAAATGTGTAGGATTTGTCTAAGTTGGGGTTACTTTGCTCAATTCAGTTTCCAGTTCCATCTACTTTTCTATAACTTAAGATAACAGTGCTTTCCAATTCACCCACAGATTCAGTGAAATTCTTATCAAAATTCTAATAGTTTTCTTTTCACAGAAATGTGTAAGCTGATCATGAATTTCATATGGAACAAAGAGGGACCCAGAATAGTGAAAACAATCTTGGGGGGGGGGGGGGGACACAAATTTTCCAAATTTCTTGTTCCTATTTTTTTGGAGGGGGAGGGGGCATACTTGGATACTGAACCCAGGGCCTTGCACTTGCTAAAGTAAGCATTCTACCATTCCCAATTTCAAACCCTGCTGCAAAGTTCTTTATGATAGTGGAATATTGGACAGAGGCAAGAAGTAAGTCCATGCATAGTGGTCAACTGACTTTCAACAAAGTGCCAGAATCCTATCAGTCAATGACAGAAGAATGGTCATTTCCATAAACGGAGACAGGGCAACTGGATAACCACTCACAAAAGAACAGATCTGAACTGCTACTCCACAAAATAGTCAGAGACTAAAATAAAGATCTAAAACTTTAAAACTCTTAGAAAAAAACAAAACAAAACAAAACACCAAAAACTCACTTTGGATTAGGTGTTTATTACTTTAAGATGATACCAAAAGAAAAATTAGCCCTCGTCAAGAGCAAACTTTTACTGGGGATCTATATCAGTTGGTAGAATGCTTGTCTAGCATGCATGATGTCCTGGGTTCCATCCTCAGTATTATGTACATGAGGCATGGTGGTGTACACCTGTAATCTCAGCACTAAGGAAGTAGAGGCAGGAGATCAGGAATTCAAGACCATCCTTGAGTATATAAGCAAGTCTGAAGCTACTTGGGCTACATACATACATATATACATACACACACACACACACATACAGAGAGAGAGAAAGAGAGAAAGAAAGAGAGAAAAAGAAAGGAAAGAAAGAGAGAAAGAAAAAGAGTGAATGAAAGGAAGGAAGGAAGGAAGGAAGGAAGGAAGGAAGGAAAAGAGAGAGAGAGAGAGAGAGAAAGAAAGAAAGAAAGAAAGAAAGAAAGAAAGAAAGACCTTCAGAAAAGTGAAAGCTTAAAGAAGGGAAGACAGTATCTGCAATCCATGTATCTGGTAAGGGGGCTTAGAATTCTTAATACTTCACAAAAAAAGACAGAATAAGTAAAATAATTTAACAATGGGCAAAGAACCTGAATAGACACTTCTCCATAAAAGCTGTACAAATGGCCAATAAGCACATCAATGCTTTAACATTACTAGAGAAGTACAAAATTAAACTACAGCAACCTGGCATTTCACGCCTATTGGGATGTCTACAGTGATAATAAAGATATCTGAGTATGGTTGGTAAGGATATTGCGAAATTGGAACCCTAATACATTGCTGGTGGGAATGTAAAATGTGTATATACTTTGGAAAACCACATGGCAGTTCCTCCAAAGGTTAAACATGGGGTTAATATGCAAAGAGAATTGAAATCCTATGACCATACAAAGATTATGACTGTTCTGTGGCAGCAGGATACACAAGTGAAAAAGTGGAAACCCCATGTCCATCAACTGAGGAAAGGTAAATCCAACACAGCACACCCTTACAATACACAGTTTGGCAGTGCAAATGAATGAAGTACTAATACATGCAGCAACATAGATGAACCTTAGAAATCAAAAGGGTATGCCGTCCCAACTTACCTGCGTCAATGGCACACGGGTAATGGTATCGGAAGGAGCAGCCTTTGTTGTAGCAGCCCAAGGTAGCGCCGGCCTCCTGGCAGTGGGAGCATTTCTGAAAGAAAGAAATGGGCATGTCAGTAACTCCAGACCTGCCCCTCTCTTACCGGCTTCTCTTTACCTCATCCGTTAGACCTCAGCATGGCCTTTGTGGTTGGAGAAATCTGTGGTGGTAGGACAGGCTGATCAATTTCTCAACCACCACTTGCTGACCACACCATGGAAGAGATCCAGAAGATTGTTTTTAGGGCCCTGGCCCCAGTTTTGGGTAACTGTTGCCTTGCTTGCTGATCTTGACCTTGATATCCTCCCTATGCTAATTCCCTCCTGGGTTTCACCCTCCTGAATGCTTAAGGAAAGTTCCTTGTCTGTGTATCCTGCATATTGGGCTTTAACAGCTTAGATGCCATCAGTAGCGAACTTCTGCCCTCCTGGGTTCTCCCATCGTGCTGTAAGCCTGTATTTAAGACCTCCTCCCTCCTTCAATAAACGGCATTCCGCATTAAAAAAGAGAGAGAGAGAGATCTGGTGCCCTCTACTGGTCTGCAGGCAGAACATGGCATAATGAATGAATGAATGAATGAATGAATGAATGAATGAATAAAACTCAGGGTAAAGGGGTTGATAGTATCTGACTCCAGAGCTTTGGCCATATTGAAAACGAGATATGGTATGTTTTAACATTAGAAGTAGAGGTTGCTGGTGGACTTTGAATTTTAGACTCACTGAGTTTGAGATGCCTTTAAGAAAGGAAGAAGGGAATAAAAGGTATTGAAAACAATGGAAACGTGCCTTTAATTCTGAAAAGGAAATTATTTTCAACTAATAAATCACACTCACTCAAATACAGGGGGAAAAAAAAAAGATTGTTTTAAGGCCAGACCTCATGAATGACTTCAAATCAAACAGAACACACCAGGGCAAGTAAGTGACACTGTATTACATGTGGTAGACACACCAGAGGGTGTAAGCACCCAGACCTCCCTGTTTTATCTACTCCCATGCTCTACTGGTAAATTCCTCTCTACTATTATGCACTGCCTGTAGATCCTGCTTCTATTTATGCCACAGAAATCTTGTGTAGGTGGAGAGTTAAGGTACACACACACACACACACACACACACACACACACACACACACACAGAGAGAGAGAGAGAGAGAGAGAGAGAGAGAGAGAGATAGAAACCTTTTACAATTAAAAGTAGAATTTGGTTTCTAGTTCTTATATTTGTAAGATTTTATTTTTAATTTTGATCTACTTATCCCAAATGCCCAATACAAGTATATTTTTCTTTCCAGAAAATATGGGTTCCTGTATGTAAATGGTATTTTTATACATGAATCCTATTTTAAATGTACTAGGAAACTTGCCATGAATTTCTGGCTAAGTGAGACACTATTCTCTAATTGCAATGCTCCTCCTTATATGGTCAGATTTTCTTAAAGCAGGGCACATCTCTATTATCACTTTGACGTGGCTGCTGTGAGTTACTCATCCTATCAATCCCATTAACATTACCAAAATGCAACCACATGTGGCCCTAGTGAGGAAAATATGCAGATTAGTTATCCTTCCTGGGTGTGGCTATGAACCACCCAGGAAAGCTAACCAGAAGACACAGACACTTATTTCTGATACTATGAAAAATAAAATATGTATGCTCCTTAAACCCTCACATCTGAACTGGCTAAGCTCCCAAAACACTGGCAGCTGTGGAGCCTAAATGTTTACCATGTCTCAGGATGGGAGAGCTATGAACATTGACAATGTATTCACCTGGTAGGACCTGCATGTGTCCACTATACAGGCTGGATAGGTAAAGTACCAGAGGGCAGGACTTAGTCTTAGTCAGAGCTAAGAAAGTCTCCCGGAGACAAATGGTGCAGGACCTTATGCCTCCCTCTCAGAAGACCTTTTAGGTGCAAATAATCAGTAAATATTAACTATGTATCCTTGCACCTAGGAGAAGAAAGTAAAGATCATTTAGCCTAGAGTAAACCAAGGACAGTTAAGAGCAATTGCAGAATCTCCAGGTTATCTACTGTCTGTGCCTCCTTCAGGATAAAAGGCCTCACCACCAAACCAAAGAAACAGAGGATGGCCAATCTGTCAGTGGAAAACTGTCAGCTGTTCCTGCCATCTTCCTTTTTATTCAAGGTTCCTAAGCACTCATTCATCCAGAGTTGAGTTGCAGGTCCTCTCCATCTTAGAGGATGAATCTCAGTTCATGGTAGCCACTGATGAATGGATTTATCAAGTACTTTTGAAAGTTTGCAAGCAAATGCACTTCTGCAAAAGTTTTGCCCTTAATGCGGACAAGTTGGAAAACAACAGCATTGTGGAGGCAGAATTAGGCTGAATTTCAGGCCAGCCTGGTCTGCACAGTGAGTTCCAGAACAAATAGGGGTACACAGTTGAGACCTGCCCCTCTGGTACTTTACCTCAAAACAAAACCAACCAAGCAACCAACCAAAGAGAAAACCAGACCACCGTGCTCAGTCTCTCTTGAGCACAGGGCAACAGGATCTGTGACAGTTACCTAACCACCACAAGAAGAGAATCCTGACAAAGACCATCTGCAAGGAAAGCAGAGTGGAAAAATGAGAGATCTGGACTCTGTCACACTGCTGAGCACTAACCCAACCAACCCAAGACTTGCGATAGGACAACACAGACACACTCTTTGCTTTTTCAATTAATTTTACAACTTATAGTCAACATATCCTAATTGATACAGAAAGAGACTATTATCTGGAGCTGGGCAAGGAAGGGTTAGGTGCACAGACTCTACAAACTAACTACTTTGTAAGTGACTCTTCCACTGCCTCACTATGTCTTACTAGCCAATTTCCTAACCTTTATTCAGTCCATCTTCAAGGAAAGTACTAACAGTGCTCAACCTCACAGAAACATTTAGTGTTAAATGCACTAATCCAGACTTAGAATAGTGGCTGGATCAGAATTACTGTCATGTCACCCAAGATGACTACAGGCCAGATACATGTCCTACAGACCAAAAATTGACCAATCACCAGAGTGGCCTTGTCACCACTCATTTACAGATGAGGACAGAGAAGACAAGGGGCTGGGACATGGATGCCTATTCCCTTCCTCCTTCAACACCAGCTGCTCTGTCCCTTGCAGGACCTCTCAAAGCAATCTGCTTCGAAACAACTCAGTCTACATACATGCCTTGTCTTTTTCATGAAGACAGAGAACTCCCCACTTAACCAGGAAATTGCATCAGTAAAATGATACTTTCTTCTTTCAGCTAAAGGCATGATATGGAGCTGGAGAGATGGATCAGTGTTCAAGAGCACTTGTTACTCTTCCAGAACCTCTGAATTTGATTCCCAGCACCCACATGGTGGCTCTAACACCACATCCAGAGTTCCAGAGGATGCAATACCTTCTGACTTTCTGGGGAACCAGGCACTAACATGGTGCACATACAAACATGTAGACAAAACACTCATATAGATAAAATAACATTTAAAAAGCACAATAAGCTGACTACCCAAAGAAGAGATACCCTACAGAGGTTATTAGGATCTCAGAGAAAGCACCTAATAAATGGTTTAGTTCAGCGGCCCTCAAAAGTGTGGTCTCGAGACCAGCAGCACCAGGAGGAACTGAAAGGTCAAATTCTCAACCCATGTTCCAAAAAGCCCTCTAAGCGATTGTGGTACATAATGCAGATTCAGAACCATTAATCAACTCCTTAAACTATAACATAGACCCACAGAGATACAATGACTGGCTAGAATCCATGTTTCCTGAGAACTATTTAGTGTTAACTAGACTTCTGTTTCCTATATAGCAATCTAAAGATTATGGGTATGAAGGCAGAATTGAGGTTTTCAATGATGTTCATCTGAATCCCTAGAATCAGAGATCTTTAATACCTTGCAGAGGTGATAAGTTTCAAGATGGGAAGATGTGTTAATTATCTGGGGATGGATCTACTTTCAACACACTTTAAAAACAAATATCCTCTCTCAGAGTGGGGCAGAGCTGCGGGCTTCTGGGAGATGTGGAAATGGGAGCAGGGTCATATGCACTACTGCTGACTTTGAAGATGGAAGAAAGGGCCACAAGCCAAAGAATGTAGGTAGTTATAGCTCAAAAAAGGCAAACAAACAAAATCTTCCCTAAGCTTCCAGAAAAGGAGCAGAACACAGAAAACAGCTGATATCCAGAGTGGAACTTGAACTGGGCTTGTAACCTGCAGAACTGTAACAGGTATGTGGTGTGTCATGGCAAGTACAGAGGAATTCCTGAATCGCTCACAGTGACAGAAGTAACTGTTCATTTTTCTGTTACATTCTCTACTGTAACAAATTTCTCCCTCGTGGAAAAAACTACAATTTCATTCCTTTTCATAAAGTCAGTTTTGTCATCACAAGGTCCCCATAGACAGCACACTGGGTCTGTTTGCAGTCCCCCCCACCCCCAGTTGAAGAAGCAGAAGAAGCCAAAGCAAAGGGGACTGCTAAGATCGCATAGTCAGGGAGCAATGAACTTGTAACTGTAGCTTTTTTCCTACTAACCACAAGTTCAATACTCCTCACCCTGCCATGCTCCTTTTAGTTCACTTCATTCATTCAACCATCCCACATTTTACCAGTACCTCCCACCTGATGCCTTTAGTCCCAGCACTCATGAGGCAGCATGGTGGAGCACTGTGTTCCAGGACAGCCTGGTCTACATAGCAGAGCAAAACAATCAAACAAAAGAGAAACTCCAAACAAATATAAAAATCAGAAAATAAATAAATAAAAGTACTCCCATGTGCCAATTGTCAAAGACAAAATATAAAAACCTATCACTATAAAAATCTCCATTTGTCCATTCTATACCCAAACCTATTCTTTGGTCAGTATAATTTCCAATTAAGTTTTTATTCTTTATGTTTTACCTGAAGGAAAAATTGACTTTCATTCTCCCATACTGTAATTACTTAAAGCCCCTGCATAGCAAATGTCCTTGACTTAGGGGAAGTGAGTACACAGTGTCAGGACCCAAACAACACAGGCTCAGTGGCGACTTCAGT